AATAAATAAATAAATAAATAAACTAGCATTCCTAGTACCCCGGCGGTGGCTGCTGCTCTACATAAATACATCTACAAAATCCATGAGATCCACGGTAGGGATAACATACTCCTGCATCCTCTCCCGTCCCCCATTTCTTCCGGATAGCTGTCTTTTGAGGGTTAGCTGGAAGTTGTTCCCTTCCTCCGCTACACTGCGTCTTTCACATAGGCGAGCAGTGCTTTATCAGGGATCAACCATCGAGAATTCTCTTCTTCGACAGTGAGTAGCCGGCGGTTTTCAGCATTTTTGAAACGACGCGAGCCTCCCAATACCATAAGACAAATCTAACTCGTCGAGAAATCTATTACAAAGAATCTGAATGCTCCCGAACCTCGCCTGGAACAACGTGACCTTCTATGCCTCCAATGGAAATCATCCTTACCCGAAGTTCAAAAGACGTTTGACATCGATAAGGTTTAGTCGAACTAGGATGAACCACCGCAATTCATTCACGTTCAAAATCGTAGCAATGTTGGAAGTCTGTGTGGGCTATACAATGGACTGCGAAGGCTAGACGTACAACCCAGGGCTTCTTTGCCCCAGACCAGCCTGGTAGCAATTTGCCGACCTGAGAAGTATGGAAAGCTCAAGTGGTCCAAGGCTAATACCTATTTACAATTCGATCCGAAGACTATTTGTATGACTGTACTTATTTGACCTTACACCGCCTTCGCCTTCTGAACCTGCTAATGGTTAGCATCACAAACAAACGTTTTCGGGCATTCACTTATCAAATATGATAGTTGATTGATCCCAGGGTAACCACAAAACGTAAAAAGTATGAATAGCGTCGTTCAGAGTCGGAGCATTGAGCGTTGGGCGCGCGCTCTGCTGGCAACGCCGTTTCTTTTACTATGGTGTAATGTGGCTTTAAGGTAGATATAACATTATGATAGATCTGTACGCAAATTTGCTTGTTAAAAGCATCATCCAACGCGAGAACGTCCGCAGCAGCGGGACTCCGCCACAGATCATTAGCGCCGACTCGCTAGACGCTTAACGCTCTAATCTGAAAGTGTGTTCTCCTTCACCTCCTACCTAGTTCACTGCAAATCTTACACATTTTCACGCATTATCTCACAGAACTCAGTTTTACAACAGTGTAATGAACATGCATTAAAACGTTTCTTTATGGTACTGTAATAAACATGCATAAAAAAGTTACTTCATGGTACAAGTATGGTAGATAAGTAACCGTGGCACGAGTGGATAAAACGAATCATTCATGTGTACAGACATGGTTAGATATACGTTTTTGTACGAGTTATCTATCAGTTTCAAGCTACATACAACGACATTAAGTAGTTAAAGCGAACGGCAAAAATGAGCAGCGGATAATTATTGTGCAATCTATTATACTATTTGGTAAAGTAAACGTACAACGAAACTACTGTTGAGCGCAGCGACTCGTGTTAGCCTTACTTTCCACCGAATCAGAAAGTTTCGCAGTTTTGTCAAGTTTCTTGTACAGGGTTGTGTGTAGAGAACGATTTGGTGTGGCTGAGTTTTCAACGACCGATTCCTGAAATGATGTTGTATGGATCAGCTACTAATTCCCCTAAAAATATGTAGGGAAGTGATATATCTCGATGATGGACCATCCATGTCGAGGGTCGAGGTAAGGCGATTGGGCAGTATTCGGGTGGTAAGTTAATTAGCGGACTTCAGAGTGATCCGCTATTTTCAAAATGACTTCATAGTAGCCCACCACAGCTTTCTACCTTTCAGAGATCGACGCAAGAAGCCTCACAGATATGGATTGAAGGTCTCGTTCAACAAAGAAATATGAAATTGTGTTGTCCAAAGTGTTGCAAGACTTATCTTCCAACCTAATATATATAAGTAAGGCAACTTGTTGAACATACTTTGTAACTTCAAAAAATCGCAATTTAAACAAAAAAAAACTACGATATTATTTACCTCAAACATGGGTCCTGCTGTCCTATCAAGCGACTTCTGTAGCAATGGTGGGGAAGACGACGCCGACACGTATGACTCCTCCTGAAAAGAATCATCTTCATCATTATAGCATTTCCTGAAAAACAATCTTGGAGTGTACCTTTGCAACTCCTGCTTGCTCCGTACTACGTTCGCCATTGACTTCTCTAAAATTATAGAGTCTAGAATTGCCAAAGAATGTCTACAAAGATCAATCCACAGAGTCGAGAGCTATAAAACATCCCTCTGTGTGTATTTTCGGAACCCAGCATGAACCTTTCGCAACTAAATTGGACTACTAAGCACAATGAAAATGCAAGGATAAACAGAGGGTTTGAATAAGGCTAGGAAGGCCAATACTGAATGAAAAGGTGAAGAAAAAGAAACGATGAGGAGAAACAGGTATGATAGGATGGCAAAGCACACGGCGTACATCGGTTAAGGAATCAGTTGGATAAAAACTAAAAGGCAAGCAGCACAAAGCAGATCTACCACGGAGAATCGCAGTCAAGGACAATTAGGACCAGAAAACCAGAACCATAGAGAGCCTGATGACTGGCTACGTACGAAAGGAGGGACTACGAAAAACAACGAAGTGGTAGACATTGGAGAAAAAATGCGACAGAGAACTAAGAATCTATTCAGTGGGAATGACAACTTCCAGTTAGAAAAGTAGCATAAACTCAAAAAGATAGCATAACTGAGGGAAAAGGAAAGATAATATCCTTGTCAAGAGGAACGGTGCGGAAAAAACTGCCGTCTCTTGCTATCATGAACCTAGTCTCTCGATTTTGAGGTGTACGTAAACGAACTTGGGTCCAAGAGCATCCAGAAGGCGAGGTTGTGGGATTTTTGATTTCGACTTCTCATCAGGAACTTTTGTAGGAGAGATCTGCTTTTCCAGTTCAGCGATCCTCTGCTTCAGCTTGCTTTCCGATTCGTCAGCATCATCACAGATCTGAGAAAATACAGACTTCAGTTCAAAACCTTACCCATTTTCTGCAACCTACCGCGAAATGAAATTCATGCGTTGGGTGAGTTTTTGCACCATCGAATACCGTCAAAATATAATTTTACTAGTATGCTTAATATTGCAAAGCTCAATAACAAAATTGAAAAAAGAGCGTTTCCATCCCATTTTCTGAGAGTTTTGTAAGTCAAGCCATCAGGAAAGTGATCTGATGAATTCCCTCACCTTTTCCAATTCCGATATTCTGTTTTCTTGAATTTTACAATGCCTTCTCAATTCTACTGTCTCCTTTGCCAATTTCGCATACTCGGTTTTCTTCAACTGAAAGAGGGAGCGTTTTTTGCTGAAGTGGCACTGCAGTATGGAACATAAGAAAAAAAAGAGTTGAAAAGGACTAAATAAAATTCAAAGCGATGTAATCGACCAACGTGACCAGTTACCACGAACAAACTGGGACACCGAAAGTTGCTCGACTACGAAGTGTACACTCTTTAAATATCTACCCGATGGTCGCGCTATGCTCCAAGGGATAATACAGTCATGTTAGCTATCAGCTTTTAATTATCAACGTATCATGAGATATCTATGAGTAACTTCAACACAGACACAAGGAAAAGTGGAATAACACCAATTTCGCCACGCATAGGGAGCTTTAGTGTTATCTGTCTTCCTGGATTTATTGTTATGAACGATGCTCATTGTCAGTAAATGCCAAAATCTTGAAATTTAGACGCACCTGTTCCAGACGTGTGTTCTCCTTTGTTAGCTGATCAACCTTTTTCTCCAAATCCTTCAACTTTTCTTCGCTCTAAAAAGGTTTTAGTGAAGGTTAGTTAAACAATACTTTTGTCTAGAATATAGTAATTACCGCGCGATCGTTGCTTGGAACCAGTGTTGTTTCCGGAGTTAGCATTGGCACCCTGTAAAAAAATGAACCGTCTTCTAACAATGACTCCCACACTAGACAACAGATAGGCAAATCACTCACCCTTCTGTTAAAGCGGCTCTCAGGTTGGGAACCTCGGGCTTAGTAATGAGTCCTANCTGCGTTTTGAGCTTCTCATTTTCATCAAGCAAACCAAAGACTTTCTTTTTATAATTATCTTCTACCTCGTCAAACTCATCGCATAGCTGGAAATGATGATGAAAGGAATATCTCATTCAAGAGATTGATTGCTAATACTCACATCTCCTAGACGATTAATCTCCCTTTCTTTTAACTCGACTAGATGTTTCCACTCCTTCATTTCATTCTCGATATCCTTGCAATTCTGGAAAGTTCAGCGATTAAACAACTGATTTACACTACTTCATGAATCACCAACTAGTTCTGATTTCTCATTAGATTTCTCGCATACTCGGTTTTCTTCGACTGAAAGAGGGAACGTTTAGTGCTGAAGTGACGCTGCGGTATGGAACATTAGAAAAAAAGGGTTTAAGAGGAGGGAAAACAATACAGAACCATGAAACCGATCAACGTGACCAGTTATCAAACTGGGACACCCGAAAGTTGCTCAACAACAAAGTGTACAATTTTTAAATATCTACTCGATAGTCGCGCTATGCTCCCAGGGATAATACAATTATGTTAGCTATTAGCTGTTAGTTATCATCGTATCATGAGATATCTATGAGTAACTTCAACAGAGACACAAGTGTATTACAGCAATATGGTGAAGGGATTAGGAATAGAGAGGAGCAGTGGAATAACACCGTTTCCGCCACGTATAGAGAGCTTTAGTGTTATCTGTCTTCCTAGATTTATCGTTATGAACGATGCTCAGTACATGCCAAAATAATGAGAATAGAGTCAAGAAATTGAGACGCACCTGTTCCAGACGTGCGTTCTCCTTTGTTAGCTGATCAACCTTTTTCTCCAAATCCTTCAACTTTTCTTCGCGATCGCCGTTTGGAACCAGTGTCGTTTCCGGGGTTAGAATTTGTATTCTGAAAAGAAATAAACTCTTCTCTAACAATGACTCCCACACTAGACAACGGATAGGCAAACGCTCACCCTTCTGTTAAAGCGGCTCTCAGATTGGGAACCTCGGGCTTAGTGATGAGTCCTAACTGCGTTTTGAGCTTCTCATTTTCATCAAGCAAACCAAAGACTTTCTTTTTATAATTATCTTCCACCTCGTCAAACTCATCGCATAGCTGGAAATGACGATGAAAGGAATATCTCATGCAGGAGATTGATTGCTAATACTCACATCTCCTAGACGATTGATCTCCCTTTCTTTTAACTCGACCAGTCGTTCCAGTTCCTTCAGTTCCTTCTCGATATCCTTGGAATTCTGGAATATTCGGCAATGAAACAACTGATTTACACTACTTAGTAAAGCACCAACTTGTTCTGATTTCTCATTAGCAGCTTCGCCTAGCTTCGATTCCAGTGTAGCACATTTCTCCATCAATTCTTCAGACTTTTGGCGGTACTCCGTTGCCTGCGCCTCAGCTTCGGCTTGGGCGACTTTACTTTCTCGTAGTTCCGCGTTCAGACGACTTAATTCAGCAGTCGTTGCCTCAATCTGAAACTTTTGCTGACATATCGGAAGAGGAAAGTGCAGTCCTCACGTCAATATAAATAGGGGAAAGGTCCAGTTTACATCGTGTTATCCAAATAGAGAGATTGCGCTTCTGTGCTGATAACACTTGAAAAGGAAGCCTTATTTTTTTCCTCAAAAAAGCAAAGGTTCGAAAAACTATCCATGTCATCCAGGATCTGCTAAGAGCACAGCTTCTACCTCCTTCCTTTGTTTTTTACGGACCTTCTGAAACTATTCCCTTTTTCAAAAACTTACCTTCGTATTCGCAGCGCTCTTTTCTCTGGCAAAGCGTTCTTCGAGCAGCACCATTTCTTCTTTCAGATTACGAGTCTCCTGAAAAACAGCCAGTGAATGAGAAAGTAGTTTAATACAAGTTGAGTAATGCAGGGAACGAGAAAAATGTGTGACGCACATTGTGTGCCGTAGTCAACTCCGCATCGAATCGCGCTTTGGCTTCTTCGTACTCTTTCTCAATGACCTTCTTCTCCTCCCACAAAGAAGNACCTTCGTATTCGCAGCGCTCTTTTCTCTGGCAAAGCGTTCTTCGAGCAGCACCATTTCTTCTTTCAGATTACGAGCCTCCTGAAAATCAGCCAGTGAATGAGAAAGCAGTTTAATACAAGTTGAGTAATGCAGGGAACGAGAAAAATGTCTGACGCACATTGTGTGCCGTAGTCAACTCTGCATCGAATCGCGCTTTGGCTTCTTCGTACTCCTTCTCGATGACTTTCTTCTCTTCCCACAAAGAAGAATGCTGCTCTTCAAGGACGGTCAGGGCTTTCGTGGCCTAAATGAAATTGCTAAGCGCACTCAAACTCTGAGAAGACTAATGGACAGTGGACGACGCGCCATGGCGGCAGAAACATCATGCTGCTGGTAGCCCATGCCACTTATGATAAGATTTATGCCTTTTAGATGCTCCAACACGCCTGTCTTGTTTCGCTCAACTCACATTGAATTGCTCGAAACGTAGAGTTGAGTGGTGAATGCTTCTCACAGAATGATTTCGTGTTCCTCTTATAACCATATGGACCCACGGTACATCGAACTTGTTAATCGCAATGCAGCCCATTGGCCGCTGGCCATGGCGAAAGTCACCAAGGTAACAAGTTTTCATTAAATGTTATAATAGCAGTTCGGGATGCAACTCCCTGGGAGACCTTGCTCGTGAAAACACATACAGCCTGCTACATGGTTTTATGTTTGTTGTTTGGTGCAAATCCATTTTGAGGGTAGCTTGTTACTGACAACCTCACCGCTTTCACTTCACCCACTCTAGTGAGAATGCTGACTATTTAACTCAAGCTTAGTACCACCTATATAAGTATCACTCATTCACATCAACTTCTACTCGATCATAGATCAAGTTATGAACGCCCGTGTTAAACAACCTTACTGTCTATTCTAAGTGTAAGGGATCTTTCCTTTCCCGTCTGGTTTGACAGACGTTCCCACAAATGCTACGCATCTCACACGACTTCTAGTTACCCTTTTTAACACACCCGTTTTGCACTGCTTTCTTGATCGACTAAGCGGCACAATGCTAATCGCTGGCTGACCACGAATATTCGAAGAATACATCATGCTAACCACATGTACGAACCACAGACTGACCTCTCGTTTTGACTCCGCCTCGGCCAAGAGCTTGCTACTGACTTCTTTGATCGTGTTATTTAGAGTAACCGTTTCCGCCTTGAGGTAATCGGCTGTTTTCTCTAATTGTGGCACCTTTTTCGCAACCTAAGCAAGTACAATAATGAACACCTTGTGTTGTCGAACAGAGCGAACTTAAAAAAAGCTTATGAAATTGAATCAAATGATGAACTTACTTCCTCGGTTGCAACTATTCTAGCCTGATACTCTTTTTCTTTGTCTTTCCATTCCTCTTCAGACTTGGCCAATTCAGCAATTAAGGCGGCTATTTTCTCTTGCGACTTAAATGCACATTCGCCGAGCTAGAATAAGCAGAGGAAATGAGAACCCTCTCCTACTAAGAGGAGAAAGAAAAAGAAACCTCAATCAAGTCTTTTTCGATATTTGCTTTGTTAACTTCAACTTCAGCCAGACTAGTTTTCAAAGAATCACGATCATCTGATAGAGTGGCAAGTTCTGCTTTCATAGAAACGATTACCTGGAAAAGTTGCATCACCCAAAGTGTTCGTCTATAAAAAGGATGAAGAACCTACTTGTTGTGATTCCATCTCAGTCTTCTGAGCCTTCTCAACAGCAGCCTCAAGTTCTTCTTTGAAACGATCCCTTTCGAGCTCGAGCGATTTCAGAAATGTTTGGAGTTCAGCTGCATCTGCTGCGACCTTAAAATCAATGCGTGAGGACTGTAGCACAGCAGCGTATGAATAAATTTGAAAAAACCTTTTCAATTTCAGCAATTTTCTCATTATACATATCCATCCCGAGTTTCACCTTTTCTTCCAAGGCAGCTTTATCCCTTTCTGCATCTGCCATATCAGTTTCTAGTTTGGAAATCGCCTCAGTAGCCTATGATGAGATCCAACTTTACAACTGAATGTAAGTGGGAAGGCTTTACTGGCAAAATGATAAAAGAAAGAGTTCCAGAGTAAAAGTTATAGAGAAGGCACCGTTGATCCATACCTTCATCACTTCAGTGGTGAGTTCAGCTTCTTTCTTCAAACTTTCCTCGAGCTGCGATGTCAATGCTTCCTTATCTGCTGAGCTCAAGGCTATCGCACTCTCTAGTTCGCTGATACGATGCTCGAACTTCTGTGCAAAGACCATGTAGATAATGGTCACTTCTAAACCCGAAAAAGTCGAAGTCCTACCTCAGTATGGCATTTTATGTGATCAGCAAGATTCCTTTCGGCCTCAACAATCCTCTGCTCAGCATCCTTGGAAGCTTTCTCAGCTTTATCCAGTGCTTCCTCGACAATGCATCTGAATGCAGACAAAATCATTACAGATTCAGAAACAAAATGCCCTCGTTTGACATTACTTACTTTTCATCCCTCAACTGCTCAACTTCACGGCTTGCAATGTCGCGGGCCCTCTTCTCCGCTTCTAGCTGTTCTTCGAGAGCAGCACACTTCAAAAGGAACGCGATCACATTTGACTGGTCTTGGTAGTAAACTTCAAAACAGAAAGAAAGAAAAAAGAGAAAAATGAAAAATAAAAACAAAAACCACAATGAAAAGGCCAACCGCTTCTTTGAGGTTCCCCAATTGAGCCATTTCCTTCTCGAAAAATTCCAACTTATCGTTTAGCTGCTGTCTAAGATTCGTAAGCTCCTCTTCAGCAGCACTGCGCTGATGAACTGCTTCCTTGCATGCTTGCTCTTTCTCTTCCAGAATACATTTAACGGCTTTCAGCTCATCCTGCAAGTATAATGGCCATCCTTCTTATTATACATGTGATTGACTAATATAACCCTGTTCCCTAACCGCTGTTTTCATCAGATCCATTTCACTGGCAATCTGGATTTCGCGCAGAATAGTCATCTCGCTATTGGCTGTACTCAACTGATTTTTCAGATCTTCAAAAGCCTTTTCACGCAATTCCTGAATTATACAGCAATGCAGATGTTTGCAGTAAAGTTACAGTAAGCCAATTTTGGCAATACACCTGAGCAGGAAATCAACAACTTACCAGAGCTGATGCTGTCTCATTCAATTTCTCCTGCAGCGTTATGCATTCCTCAGCATGGCGACGATCAGCGGTCAGAAGCGCTTGCTCTCTTTCCAAAACCTAATGAGAAATAGTAAGAGCTCCGTATCTACCTCAAATCGAACTTCACAACTTCAACAAAGAGAAAAGCAGAAAAAAACATCTGCGGTAATTTCTAGTCTGTTTTATCTGCGGTGCTGTATGTACGAGAGAAATTTCCCGGATCAGTATGTGACTGCTTGCAAACGACATCAACATTGGAGGTACAAGTGCATTGCCGAACACAGAGTCCCAGGGAAAACATGAGTTCTTTTTTAATCCGTACTTCTCGCGGATGACTTTCACTGACAGTTTATTAACAAAGAAACTATGCGTACTTTGGTCCCTGCTTCTTCATTGTCAGAAACATTATTTGTGTCAGGGTGCGAGCGCAGAAAATTTGTGTGTCTCTGCCAGTCGCACCTCACGTCGGCCTCCCTGGCGGCGACAAAAATTTTCTTCGCTCGCGCCTTGACATAAAATTTCGTACGCCTTCGGAACAAATTTCTCAAGCGCTCACCTCATTCTCCAACTCGGTTAACCTTTCTCGCATGGCAGCTAAATCTCGATTGGCATTAGTGATCTGTAAGGAAAAGGAAATGCATAACAGGACATTTACGGAAGTTAAAGAAGCACCAACCGCCTCTTCCGAAACAGCCACTGTAGTGGTGGCATTCATGGCTTTGTCAAGTTCCTATAAAACAACAAAAATGGCAAGTTCCTATAAAACAACAAGAAGTTCCCCGAGAAGCGTGTTTGCTGGATATCTATTGCACAAAAAGCTACTCCGCACTGAAGTCCATTTAACCCCTTCAACGCATTTTACCAGAATGCCTGTAGAATACCTCGGCCAGCTCTTCACAGCGTTTCTGAGCCGCCACTCTTGCGGCTTCCGATTCCAATAGTCGTTCACTCGTCACAGCAAGTTCTGCCGAAAGCCCCGCCGAGGTGTAAGTCAAATCTGCCTTAAAAAGTGGCATAACAACGAAGCTTCAAGATTCATACGAAAGTCTCCTTCAAGAAAGCAAACCTGAGATCGAATAGCTGCATGACATTTTTCGAGTTCCTCTTCCTGGGCAATCAACTAAACAGTAAAGTTTGTTTGATGCTCAGTCTATTATAGAAGAGCCAAGATTTAATATGATGGTAACCTTAGCATGGAGATCCTCCTTCTGCTTTACATGATTTTTCTTGAGGTTTTCAACTATGAACTCATAATCTTCAATGGTCTTCTCAGCATGTTCTCTTGCTCGCTCCAATTCATTCTGTAAGAATTCTGTTCAATCGATTTCATTTCAAGCTGAAACATTCATTTGTCAGCCGGAATTCGTTAAGGGAAAATCAGTCCAGAATCAAAACACAGCAGCAAATTGGATAAAAGGAGGCATTTACCAGTTTTTTATCAGCCTCTGCTAAGGCAGCGTCTTGCGCGGCTGATTTCTCTTTGTACTTATTCATTTCTGTCGAAACAGCACGTAAATTGGCATGGAGTTCCGCTTTTTCCGCCTCCAACTTCGCCATATTCATTGCCATCTGTTCAATTTCTGATGGAGATTTTGAATTTCGGAGTCGACCTTCTTCTTCGGCCAGGACTTTGACTTCGTTAATCAAGAACGAAATCCTGAAAGGGACGATTAGAGGAAAATGCTAAGACGAGTCAACAATCTGTTAATGTTCTTACTCGGAGTCGTTCATATTGTATTTTCGATTGACTGGAAGAACTGGTGTTGAAGATTGCGAGCCGAAACTACTTGCAGCATTTGACGTACGAGACGTGGCGCCTCCTCGGGATAAATCAGCAATTGGCGACAACGGCGACTTGTAGCCTGAAATGTCAATTCTAAAACTGTGGGTAAATGCAGAGGAAATATAGTTCGTAATAATGGATCTTATCAGCACGCTCAGGTCCTAATCAACTTTCGAGTTATAGCAAGCACCTCAGAGAAACTAGTGCTCTGCAGGAGTAGGATTGCCAAGGAATTCTGTAGGGATTGTAAATGTCAATATAGCGATCAAGGGGCCTTATCAGAAAAGACGGAAAGGGATGATGTTGGGAGATTGAACTGATTCAAAGAACACTTTGAACAGTTGAAACTGAACTGCCCCGCCCCGAAACATCCCTTTTACATTGAATTAGACAAATGGTGGAGTAGGATATCCGGATGGAAATTCAGCAAAGGGACGCCTTGAACCTTTCGCCTCTCTATCCTTGGATATGTCCTTAGGTGCCCCTCGATGTTGTAGTCAATAATAGCCAAGATAGAAAAAAATCTACAAGGTATTCTTCCCTACATAATCGAGTAAATGGAAATCCTTTCATATAAGGACCTAAGTAAGAGTAAATTATGAAGGTAAAAGTCTTACGTAGAGCTGCCGACGATTTTGAAGATGAACATCGCTCCGTTATTCGGTCACTAGCTCCGGATTTGGTATCTTCTGCTGAAATCTCTTCATCCTTGGGCTTTGCACCTTCTAGTAAAACTATTTGAGTATCTTCTCCCTGGATCACCATCTCTTGGTCTCCGGTATCGAATATTGCGGTCTGATATTGCGTTAGAGATTCGTATGCGATTGCTGTAGCGGTACTTTCAGGTCGTGAAACCCTGCCTTCAACTTCTGACGAACCGTAATGCGCGGGAAAGACGTCGTTGTTCGCAAGAAGGGCAGCGGCCTTCTCTGGTTCAGTCAAAACCATCATCGTTTCTTCGATCCCAGTAGTAATGTCCATAAGAGAGCTATCAGTAATAGCTGTATAGTCGGCGCATCCCAGAGATGTGTCCTCGCGCTTGTCATGAGGAGGGTTACCAGCCTTTGCCAGCGGTACGGCGAACACCAATTCTGTTTCATTCAAATCGTTGAAACTATCTTTCCCTGATAAATTCACATCATCTCCACCAACGCCTCTAGCGCAGCTCACATGTGATGAAAAAGAGAAAGTTGACGATAGATCTGACACACAAGGGAGGGTTTCCTTTTGCGAGGGTTCCGGATTCACGATAGAGATATTCACTGATCCCTGAAACACTCTGGTGGAATCAGTGGAAGCGTAAATATTTTCAAACGAACACTGTCAACAATACGTACCACAACTTCCATGCCACTCTTGGCTTTCTCTCCATCTCCCAAATCAGACAGTTCCCTAGCTAACGATCCCTGTAAATGCCAGAGTTGCCTAAGGTACGATACCGAAAAGGTTCACTGATGGTGTTATTGTTGTACTTTCTATGATGGCATTACGGAAAGTAAAGGGTACCTAAGAGCTTAATGTAAACATAAAAAATCGAAGTCAAAATTCTGCTTTACAAATGTAAAGGAAGAAAATGCCTCACTTCGTCCAATGGTAAAGGAGCGCCATTGTTCTCATACAATAAAACGGCCTCAACAGATCCACATATCACGGTATCGCTCTTGGGTGATTCTTCGTCACGAGTAGTATCCAGCCTTTGTGTGGCTTCTTCGGTAGTGTTTTCAACGTTCAAACCAATTGCCTCAGCCGCCAATGGCTCTTCCTGTAAGCATGATGGAGATAGGTGGGGCGAAAACATAAAAAGTGGAGAGGAAGTTGAAAAGCTAGTGAGCTATTTTGAAATTTTTTCAATACCACGTACATTTTTCAAAGTTGTATCCGCTTCATCCTCCGCCAACACAAAAGTCTCATGCAAAAGTTTGTGAGGAGTCAGCGCTTCAACTTCAACCGTCATCTCCCTGTTATCCATTTCGCACATCGTTGACTCTATCGCTGAGTCCTCGAGGTTCGAATCACAGCTTCGAACATTCCGGTTCTCTTTCTACAAAAAAAGTGATAAGAGAGAGACTGGGAAACACATATCTAGTCATTTTGTGAAGGAAAAAGAAGGTAATTTCTAGGGTCAAGTTTCATAACAACAGAGTTTCTCTACAATATTGTCGTAAATTGATCGCATGTATCGGATCACAAGGTGGTCTCTTTTGGGGGTGATTTTCGTTAAACGCCGTAAATGTTGTACTAAATTACAGAGCCAAAATTGCAGAGTAATTCTGTCTCCTATTTGAAAATATACCGAGCAACCAACTGCGTAAGAGAGACTCCATTAAAGGAGATGCGAAATAACTACACCAAACTTCGTACTCCGAAATCCCACCGAAATGCATTGAAGAAAATGAAAATATAAGCAGAACCAGACTAGGACTAAGGGCGAAAAAGGTCAACGGATAGGACGTTTTCCTAGAAAAGATCTTTTAGAGCTATCCCACAAACATGATGAAAGGTTCGAATGCATTGGATGTGCAGAGCTTGACAAGGAGCATTCTGATATCGAAAAATTGTTATGCGTACACTCACCATTTGGGTCATCGGCGCATCCGATTCCACGAAGGACTCCTCTATATTCGGATCAGCACGGTGTACAATCGAGTCTATTCCAACACTCGCAAGCTCTGAATAGACTCTGTTCAGCATGGCAGGACCGAAAAAATCTCTTCTCCTGAAAACCTTGCGCAACGGATCCTTCCAGTTCCGCCTTGACGCTGGACATGTTCAAAGTCTCATCAAAGAACTGCGACGCCTCCAAATTCTGATCTCCCAACTCTCGAAGAGGCCTCAACTGGAAGCATATCGATGAAAAAAGTGACGACAGAGCTGTACCATTGTTAAAAACTTCATGAATAGAATTGCAGTTAAGTATAAAACAGAACTTCATTTTCAAGCTACACACTACCGTAAACTCAATTTGGCATCTTAAAGCTGATGTACATTTAAACATACCTGCTTTCTAGGACCTGGACGTGTACTAGGCGTGCCCGACGTGTACGGACTTTCCATGGAGGGCCGTTTTTTCACCTTTAAAAAATAACATAACATATCAACCAGGTGAAACTGATGCCAAAAACTCTGACCTCATGTTTCATTGGCGTTTCGACGTTTTCTTTGTCAATGGGCATTGTAGGGAGTTTCGAACAGAACCTATAATATCAATTGAATAATATTCACTTGAAGTTAAATCGATGCGAATCAATGTTACGACGACAACGACAAGAATCTTATCACAGATTTAGTGTTTACTCGGAAGTTATTCCGATGCTCTCTCAAGAATTATATCCCGTTTAGTCATTACCAGAAATCGTTTCGGAGAATTTTTACGAGCTTTGCATTTGGAAATGCTAATGATGACCGTCTTTTCGAAATATCTCATTTTGTGATGTTGTTCAACGAACGAAATGTATTCCTCCGAAAAAAAAACACCTTTAAAGTTGCGAAATTAGAAGATTTCTTAGGACCACGCTGATATAGTTGAGCCTGATGTAATGTTTTGAGAAGAGGAATTGAAAGAAAGTGAAAATTTAGATGAATAAAACAAAAAATACAACTGCAGTCCACATGTGGACTACATGGTGGGTTAAGTAACAGACCTGGTCAAAACAAAAAGAAATTATGCCATGAAGTGATACAAGTAATAACAAAAATGCCACACAAATAAACACATAACACCGAACAGAAATAGAACCCTATAAATGATTAGTCTCCCAAAATGGAAATCAAGTACGTGCCTACTTTTTGCGGGCTAAATATTCGCGCGCGTTTACGAGGTCGATTGGGGCGCGATTGCTACCGCTGGTACAAGATGGCTGTCGTACTGAAGAGACGGTTGTTCATTCACTGAATACTCTTGAGACGGTTCATGTCAGAAAGGGCGAATTATTCGGGGAGTACTGTACTTGAAATAAGAAGGTTTTTTTGGTTATGGTTTTTTTTGTGGAAAATGAGTGATTAGGGTTTCAGGGTAGCCAACTTTAGAGGATGACTCACACTAACGGTTTCAAAGTTCTAAACCAGAACTGGGAGTGTTTCGCTTCAGAGTTCCCACCTTGCTCATCAACATCGTAGCATAAGTTTCGAGATGAATAAAGGGTACACACAAGCTTTCAGGAATTGGGTCCAAAAGGAAGTTAACATCGATAGTTACTACTGCAGGACCATCCAGAAGCTGACCCTGTTTTATTTTCCCTTTTTTCGGAGAAAAAATTGCTTCTTTCGTCACCTCTGCAGTTCAGAGTGCGCTATGCCTTCGCTTCTATCTCGGAACCAAGGATGTGTTTGAAAGTGGGGAGGCGGGCGTTAGGAACGATTTTGTGTAATCGATTCGCCACACGCGGCTGTCGCGGGTAACAACGGCCGATGTCTCTAAGTTCACTCAGAAGAATCTGTTGATAATTATTCGAATACGGATGACAATCATGGATGTCAGGGACATTCAGAGGCTCATAGGCACCGTTCTTGGGGATTCCGTTTTTGAGGATGGGCTTATTCATATCTACACCCATAGACTAGTGTACAGGGGGTCTATCAAACGTAGCACTCTCCATGAGCGCAACCGCGAGATTCCTTGAATCGATCGCTGAGAAGATAGCTCTGCAGTGCCGCCATATCGCCGTCATCTTCGCAGGATTTGTTTGTATTTGAGAACTAAATACAAGACGAGATGAGAGAGATTTGATGAGCTTGAGAAGAAATTCTATGCGATCCGATGAGCATTGATGTGAGCGATGATGACGAAGCTCAAGAATCAGATTTAAAAGCGATCGGCATACGGTAGGCAGGGTATTGGGCGATGTCGACGTCCACTGTGCTGGTGCTTGTGCTCACCACTTATCTAGCCTTCGCTGAGCAGGTCGGTTCAATTTTGACTTTCACCTCGATTATATTGGTTCTAAGTAGTATTGCGATTCGTTATGGATCAATATGGGTTCCCAAAGGCTAGGCAACATAGAGCTCATGTGCCATTTTTCGTGCGAGCTGTGCACCGAAATCCGCTTTGGACTATGAGATACGCAAATGTTTGTTATGATGCCCCTTTGAAGCATAAAACCAGCATTTCGTACACCTAAGCACTGAGCTATAGGTCACCTCTTATTGGTTAGAACAGGAGGAAGAGTCCTAAAGCTAGGAGCTCAATGAGCCTCAGATAAAAAATTTTATTCTGCTCAAGAAAACTGCTGATGGACATGAGTTTTCTTGAGCAGAATAAAATTCAGAGCCAGACTAAGTTGGGCATGAAAATCAGCTTTTTAAAGGTACTGCATACAGTAATACGAGTAGTCATACAAATATGTATGGTGGAAGGAGTGTTAAGTTGACGGAGAAGACTGTAGGAAGCTCCTTCATAGAGAAAAGTGTCCCAGTAGCGCCCAAGTCAGGTCCAAAACCTTGGAGGAGGGAACTAGCTCCTTACAGAGACCCTATAGTGGGTCCTAGAGATGACGAACTCCTCAGAAATCCTGTCATCCATGCATATATTTATTTGATTACTTGATCCTATGCCCATCCTGTAGCAAGTCAATTATTTATGTTGTCTTGAAAAAAGGTTGTGGGCAAGGAGCAGTTGGGTAATCGCCTGGCTTCTATGTAGTACAGACCTTTGAGCCAAATCCCATAATCGGATAACAGTGAAGACAGGGTTCGCTTCCGTTTTAGGGGTTTTAGATTTGATCCCTTACCGTTCAGCGGCATTCCAAATATACTTTATAAAGAGTGATCCGTACAATCAGTAGTAGCTAGGGAATTTGGGAGCGTCCAGCCTTCATTCTATCTTTACATCGAGCTTATTGTTCTATGCTGGGCTTATGATTTGTCCATTTGTAGAATGTGAAAAATGCTACTGCTTCCGGGAGCTACGGCTACAATCAGCAGTACAACGAACCCAGTTATGATGGTGGCTACAACAACTATCCTTCGTACTTTAACGGACCGTATGGACCATATGGATCATATTTCCCATACGGATCTACTGGGCCGTATGGACCCTACATGCCATACGGACCACCTGGGCCAGATCCAAACGTACTCAAAAATAGTAAGTTAGAGTCTGTGATTTTGCAAAGTAAATCGTGAAAAATTTTATGCATTCTTCAGATTATGTCTGCAGCGTTGATGTAGCCTATGGTGTTTACTCTGCTAATTCTCGAAGTAGAGGTGGGAATTTTCAGCTATCAAACGAGATAGGCCGAGCTTCACTGAAGGGATGGACACTGAAATTCAACCAAGCACTCTTCTCTTCCCTTCAAAGCGATCGACAAAGTCCACAAAGCTACTCAAGTAACAGCACAGCATCACAATGTAAGGGGCACCATGGGATGGGATTCGCGTTGCCCGAAGGACAAAGCAGAAGGGTTAACGAAGGAGGAGTTGGGGGAAATCAGTTAGAGGAAGAAGTGACATCTCTTTTCTCTAACTTTGGGTTGTAGAGAAGGAGGGGTAGCCTGGTCCGTGAGCCTGTAATGAAGCTCTCGGAGCAGGAATAGTAAGCTAGCACAGTTCCGCTCACACATTTGAAGTCCACAGTCTACAGAGTTGGCTACTCCTCCTTTTATGCGCTCTAGCTCCCAGAACTAGGGAGAAGAGGTTTTCCCTCCGCTGACTACCTTTTCACGCACTAGAAGGGGATAGAAATAGAACGAAGCAATCTGACGGGTCGTAAGGATGAACAGACGTCAGAATACTGTCGAATGAGATGAGGAGCCTTGAGACAACTGGTTGCTTCCATACTGCCATCTGATATTCAGATGGCACGACTTTTGAGGGGNTGATGGAATAGCTCGTCGGGGGTCGGTTTCACGTACAATTACAGCGACTGTGAAAGAGGTCATGCTAGTGTCATGACACATGGCATGTGTTTGAAGCAATGACGATGAGGGGAATACGGCAGCTGAATTGAAATGGTCGCTGAAATCGAGAGGTTAGCCTGCACCACACCCGGCCTGTACGAGATTATGCCGATAGAAGTAGCTTCAAGAAAGGTTTCAGACGAGCTGCAACTTGCGGGCCATTGTGCTGTGCTGGCCATAGTGAGCCAAACGTGAGAAAAATTGCCTTCCTCTCTCGCCATGGGTCACGACTACTTGTTCAAATGTTCACCATATGCGCTTTGTTGTTGATGGTGCAGCTTCAACTGACCGTTATAACTCGGCCACTTTTGGGTGTGCACGTCGGCCCAGGTAGTTTTGGAGTCCCTATTATAACCTGTACAGCTTTTCAACTCTACAGTGTCGTGGGCTATCCTTAAGGTTACAGCCTCCTTGCTCATACCTTCCATACTTATTCCACATGTACAGAGGTAGTACCATGGGGACTTTGACCATACGCTCTTCGCAGTGAACCCGTTCCCGACTGAAATGACTTTCCTAGCTACGGGAGTTTCTGGTGTTAGTCTGATCCTGTTTCTCAGATTTTTTTTCAGGACGACGCCCATTTGTTCAGGACTGTTCTGACGTTTATCATGGCGGCAACAGTGCCTTCAAGATGAGTTTTCATTTCGTTTTCCGTTCTTTTTCAGAATTGAAACGCTTGGGCTATATTGCTGCCTTTTAACCTCGACCTTC